TCGGCTGGGAATGCAAATATCGAGTTTATTGTCGTCTTAAAGCAAAATTTTTGCGGACCAGAAAAATGACTGCACCTGCCTGGCAGAATCAGGCGACAAAGTTCGAACCAAAATCTCAGTCTTCTCAAGTTCCGATTTAACTGACTGCACCATTGGAGGCTGTAGAATGGTTTGTACTTGATAGCATTATAATGATATTTGGGAATACATTGATTGCTAGCTATATATCTTCATCTGAAATCTCAGACAAGTACATAGGATTCGTCAAAAAAGCTAGACAATGTTATAGCTTTCGTCTGACAATCAGACAAGGAGCCAGTACCCGGTCTTAAAGCCAGACGGGTCATTTTACTAAAGTTAGCCTTGACAGTGATTGGTCGGCTCGCCGAGACTTTATCTGTCCGAGCCATCCCTCATGGCCCGTGCGCACGGCTCGGGTGAAGTCCGGCCAGGTCAGGTTCGGTGTTTGAAGGAGAGAGGCTAGGAGAGGGGTGTTGAGCTCGATGGTCTTGCTGCCTCCGAAGTAGGCTCGGTACCCAGCCTGGTGGGTGGGAGGGAGAGGGGAGAAGGGGTGCCTTGCATGAGCATAACCAGGGAGCTTGCGGCATGGCGACACTTGATCTGCTGATATGTGTGTCAGTGTTAGGTGCTGATACCATGACTGAATTTAAGAGTTTAGTTAGACCATCAAATGACCTGATGCACCCATCACAATGCCATGCATGTACCACAGTCCGATGCATGTACCACAGTGCCATGCATATACCACAGTGCCATGCATGTACCACAGTGCCATGCATGTACCACAATGCCATGCATATACCACAATTAGGTCGAGCTTTAGGTGGTAACCTGTTTCGCGAGTATTCGCAACAACTGTCGCCAATGGAGTCAATAATTTGAAAAATACCAAGTGCGAACCTACAAATGTGAACAAGATTCGGAAAAAAAACACGAACATAGTTTTGCACACTGAATCAAACGTGTGTGGTTTCAAGCACGTATGAGGATTCAGCGATGCTCGTGACTCCTTCGTGCACCAATAGAGGCACATCTGAGACCCGAAGCAGAGTCCCCCGCGCAAAGCCCAACAGGCCAGCTTGTATGACCGGTCCATAGGACCAACAGGCCAGTTGGTCCGACCGGTCCACTGGACCAACAGGCCAATTGGTCCGACCGGTCCATTGGACCAATAGGCCGGTTGGTCTGACCGGTCCATTGAACCAACAGGCCAGTTGGTCCGACCGGTCCATTGGACCAACAGGCCAATTGGTCTGACCGGTCCATTGGACCAATAGGCCAATTTGTCTGACCGGTCCACTGGACCAACAGGCCAGTTGGTCCGACCGGTCCACTGGACCAACAGGCCAATTGGTGCGACCGGTCAGTTAGACCAACAGGCCAGTTGGTCTGACCGGTCCATTGGACCAATAGGCCAGTTGGTCCGACCGGTCCATTGGACCAACAGGCCAGTTGGTCTGACCGGTCCATTGGACCAACAGGCAAGTTGGTGCGACCGGTCCATTGAACCAACAGGCCAGTTGGTCCGACCGGTCCACTGGACCAACAGGCTAGTTGGTCCGACCGGTCCATTGGACCAACAGGCCTGTTGGTCCGACCGGTCCACTGGACCAACAGGCCAATTGGTCCGACCAGTCTACTAGACCAACAGGCCAATTGGTCCGACCGGTCCATTGGACCAACAGACGAGTTGGTCCGACTGGTCCACTGGACCAACATGCCAATTGGTCTGACACGTTGGCACAACGTGACAGCGCGTTGCCGTGTCTGTGGCTGGCGTCGGCGCCAACAGCCAGCCACACGACAAACTCCTGGCAGCATATGCCGCAGATACATGACAGCGAGGCTGCTACAAGACACGCATATTGAACGCGCGTGTTGTTACAAGGCAGCAAAGATCCCTGTACCTGTGGTCCTATGCTCTAACCGATATATGGCCAAGTGGTCCTATGGCCTAATGGTCCTATGGCCTAGTGGTCCCATGGCCTAGTGGGTCAATTTATCAATTTCAGACGAAACCAAACTTGATATCTGTAGATTTAGACTAGTATTATACCATCATCACCCGGATACCCCCAGGCCTATGTTACACCCATGGGCTTATAACCAGACTAGTGGGCTTATAGACGGTTGCTATAGATGTATAAGCACACCCATTGATTTCTAGCTTTTTTGTTTAGTGAGATTGCCACTAACGCGCCTCAAACAATCGCCACTAACGTGCCTTGCGAAGTTCCCCCTGGCTCGCTTGGCGAAATAGCCATGGAAACACACGTAAGACAAAATTAACAACAGTTCAGCGGGTGCTGACAGGGATTATTGCCATCATGACGCATTCTCGGAAAGTTTCGGCAGCGACCCACTTTGTGTTAGCATCGATTGGATCCGCAAGGGTTAAATCTACATTCCAGTGCTTTCAAATCAAAATTCAATAAGTGTCATTTAATTAGCCCATGGGGTTATAAGAAAAACCAATTATAAGAGCATGTTCCTAGGGCCTCATATCAGGAAACCTCATATCAGAATCGCCTAAAACACCAATTTTCCGGAGTGATCAGATGTTTTAATATGTGATTTCCTGGTTTGATGCGTGACAAAAGACGTAGCGTGATTTTTGAATCCCTGTTCCCGCCAAAACAATAATATTTCGCACGTGGTGTATGTGATTACTTGACGTGGCTGATTCAGCACGCGACAAAATTCGGGCGCGATAGGTTCGTCGCGCAGCACTGCGACAGAGTCTTCGAAACACTATTCAACCCCACACAGAGCTGTGCTCATGCAAAATTGGGATTTGAGTCAATCGGGAAGTACTACTGTACTCTCTCCGCTCTGAGGGAACTGTTAGCGCTGTTTGGGAATGGTTACGGGGAGTTTCAATCCGAGTGCGTTCAAACATGCTGCTCGTTGAGAAGTCAGGCGCTGATTGGCCCACATGTCTCGAAATCATAGGCTGAGCGTTGTTCATTCTTTCAAAGTGAGCAGTCCCCAACAACCCTCGTCTTTTACACCTAACCAGCAGCACGATCAGGGTGGCGCGGATTTGACCGAGATGAAATCGAAATCTCAAGATTCTCGCGCCAAAGCTGAGGCTCGCCACCCGTTACGAGCCTCAAAACAGGAGCCGTCAGAAATTCGTCCCCCCCCCACTCCTTCCGTCAGAAATTCGTCCATCATCACTCCTTTTCACCCGATTCTTGCAAACACCTGTTAATTGCAACAAAATTGTAGATGTACAATAATGATGTCATGTTGTTAGAAAGCAATAATTAGGCAAATTTTAGAATATTTAATATGCACTTTAGATAGATGAGATATCTTGGCTGCATTATATTGGTCCGAATGCCATGATTTGGTGCGGATATACAATTGCATAATCTATACATGAGCTTAAACTTCTTGTATGTCCATGCCTACCGTATATTAAGCGCATACACTACTTTCTGGGGCACTACTGCTACGGGTTCAATCATGCCTCTTTTTTTCAAATATTACAACCTTTTTTTTAGGGTGATGGGTTTTTCAAAATACTGAAAATCAGGGTGACACACACATGTTACACTTTCTAGTTACAATGTTTCCTCCTTACAAAATATATATATATATAATATAAACCCCTATTCTGTTTCAACCAAGGTATATCCTGCCCTCGAATATAAGCATGCCTTTTGAAACAGTAAGGTGGAACACACACCCATGCACGCACGCACGCACCCATCCATCCATACACACACACACTCACACATACACACACACTAACACACACTAAATCTCAATGCACACTTTAGACAACCCAAGATAAAATATGCGAGCAATAATTACCATCCTTGCAAAATCTTAAAAGTTAGTGATGGGACAATTGATAACTGCAGGGCTGCTGTAGCCTTGTTTTGGCTGCTGCTGCTGTGCTGGTCAGAGCTGATGCTGCTACTGCTATTACCTCCTTGCCAGCTGCTAAACCCTTGTCAGAGGTCCACTGGTGATCCCCGATTGATCCTAGGAAAGGGTTACAGGCACGTTGGCCTGGGGGGTTATGGGCGCACTCACCCGCTATACAAACAAGCCCTTTTATCCCAGTGGTTAGTGGCTGGGATTCTGACATGGTATCAGAGCAAAGGTCTCGGGTTCGAATCCCGGTGTGTGCACCTCGGGCATCCCAGTGCGGGGGGGTGTCAGAGGTCCACTGGTGATCCCCGATTGATCCTAGGAAAGGGTTACAGGCACGTTGGCCTGGGGGGTTATGGGCGCACTCACCCGCTATACAAACAAGCCCTTTTATCCCAGTGGTTAGTGGCTGGGATTCTGACAACCCTTGTCCCGTACTGCTGCTACTGCTGCTGGCCCTGGTGCAGCTACCCTAAGTCATGCTGCCCTTACATTCTCTTGTGTGAAAGATCCCCCTTAGCACATCTACCAGGTTGAACACGCTGTACAGTGACTCAAGTTCCGAGTATTGTGCTGTGCCCACAACAAACCCATAGAAGCAAAAAACTCAGTATAATTTCCTACCGTAATGATTAATCCGACAATGGCTTGTACTCACTGTTGTTTTCCCTGCTTTTTTGCTAAACCTCAAACTGGTATATACGATCAGTATCATATGCGCTTGGAAAAAAATAGAGAACAAACTCTTCAACTTTCAAGTGGACCCAATCTAGAAGGGGGGGTCACGATTTTAGCTGCTGGCTTTAACCTCGCATAGCCTGTCTTAAGTGAAAGCTTGAACGAGGGAAAGTCAATGAAAGCATGTATATTGCAGTCAATGAAAGCCTGTCTCTATATTTCCGGTAATGTGTCAGTGTTGAAGAACATACATAATGTGGTAAATGAAACAAATGACTAGAGCTAGAGCGTCACTCACTCCAAAAAGAAAAGCAAATGTGTGCGAAACATCAGACGGTACGGACAATCTGGGCATGACGGAACAACGCTGATCCTCTCCCTATTGTGGACTCTGGTAATGCTGCTGGCCTAACAGATTATGCTGGGTCTCCAGCCGCGGCTGTGGCTGCCACTGTTGCTGCTGTTGGTCTATTTGTTGTCGTTGCAGTAGCTGAAGTTGGTGCTGCAGATACAGCCACTGTGGTTGCTGCTGCTGCTCCAGATGCTGCTGCCCTGGTGGCTGCTGCCCCTGCTGCTGCTGCTGCCCCTGCTGCTGCTGCCCCTGCTGCTGCTGCTGCTGCTGCTGCCCCTGCTGCTGCTGTTGCTGCCGCCCCTGCTGCTGCTGCTGCTGCTGCTGCTGCCCCTGCTGCTGCTGCTGCTGCTGCTGCTGCTGCCTTGTCTGCGGCTCTGGCTGCTGCTGCTGCCTTGTCTGCTGCTCTGGCTGCTGCGCTTGGGTTTGGTGATACTTCTGCAGCCTCCTCAATGGCTTTTTCTTCTGGTGAATCCTATTCCACTCGTGCCGTCGCCTCTTTCCCACCCGCACTCGCTGTTCTCCCTGCTGCTGCTGCTGCTGCTGCTGCTGCTGCTGCTGCTGCTGCTGCTGCTGCTGCTGCTGCTGCTGCTGCTGCTGATGCTGCTGCTGCTGCTGCTGCTGCTGCTGCTGCTGCTCCTGCTCCTGCTCCCTTTGGTCCCCTGACTCTGCTGCTACCCGCCTTTGCTGACAAAGATTTTGAATTCGTCTTAGTCGATAACGAATGACATTCTCTGCACTGTCTCGCGAGGCTTGTCCAGGCGTGTCATTGTTATGGGCCACATCTCTCTCACCTCTGCCTAATTCCCTCTCTTCTCGCCATTCGTTTCCTCCTACTCCGCCCCGCACTGCTGCTACTCCATCCCCTGGCCCTCCCCCACCCTCTGCTGCTCCTCCCTTCCCTGACCCTCCTCCCCTCTCTGTGGCTTCTCCATCCCTCCACCCTCCCCCCCTCTCTGCTGCTACACCATCCCCATACCCTCCCCCCCCTTCTGCTGCTCCTTCGTCCACTGGCCCTCCTCCCCTCACTGCTGCTACCCCATCCTCTGACACTCCACCCCTCACTGCTGCTACGCCATACCCTGACCCTCTTCCCCTCCCCACTCCTCGCCCAGCCCTTCCTCCTCTCCCTACTGTTTGCCCCTCCCTCGTCTTCCTCCCCTACCCTGTCTTCCTCCCCTCCCTCTACTCGACCCCCTCCCCACAGTGCCCAGACCAATGGATTCCTGCTCCCCTTCCACCAATGGTGTCTCACCCTCTGGATTGGCATGTGCAGCCTCCTCTGCTGCAGCACCCGCACCACCTATGTCATCATCCCCTGGCCTTCCCCCCCTCTGCTGCTCCTAGATCCCCTGACCCTCCTTCCCTCTCTCCTGGCCCTTCCCTCCCTAACCCTCTTCCCCACCCTCCTCGCCTAGCCCTTCCTCCTCTCCCTACTGTTTGCCCCCTCCCTCGTCTTCCTCCCCTACCCTGTCTTCCTCCCCTCCCTCTCGACCCCCTCCCCACAGTGCCCAGACCAATGGATTCCTGCTCCCCTTCCACCAATGGTGTCTCACCTTCTGGATTGGCATGTGTAGCCTCCTGTGCAGCACCCGCACCACCAATACCGTCAATAAGAAACTTGTTCCTCCCATTCATCCTCTGAAGTATCACTAGCACTGTCAAACTCCTCTTCATCCTCTCCAACACCGCCTTGTGTTGTATTACCGTCCGTGACCCCATCAGCCTCTCTTCGTTCACGTTCACGTTGCTCCCTAAGGGCCTCGCAGAGCACTGCTTGATGGTGGCTACCATTGCACGCCATGCACGGTGATAGACTAACAGTAGCATCACCCTGTGTGGCAGTTTGAATGCTCATGAGCCCTTCCGGCGTGAAAAGTGCCTCCCACGCTTCTCTCTTCTGCTTTCGCAGATCACATGTCTTTCTGTTATGCCCTTTTTCTCCGCACTTACCACACTTGCGCAGCTTTCTGCCATCGATCTCACCGTGAGATCTTAGTCGCTGCTCGCGTGGTCTCCCTGGTTTCTTCGGATATACCGGGGGCTTGGTGGTCTTATCTGGTGCAATCTCTGTGTAATCCAAAGTTTTGATCTCGGTGCTGTAGAGTTCTTTTAATGCATCAGAAGTGTAGCACCGATGCACCATGCCCCGCACCAGCTCTTCCACAGCGACCGGCTCACTCCCACATGCAGCCCGACTTTCATGGATGAGCACAGCAAATATGTGTACGCACGGAAAACCGTATTCTCTGCCAACAACAAGGTGGGGGGAGGAGGGGGGTTTGAAGGGAAGGGTTGAGAGAATCAAGGATTTGTCGAAACACACAACATGCACAAACTATAAGACGTTGGAGTACTCTGGTTGTTGTGGTTCCATACTACTAGACTTGGAAACAAATTTACTCTGCTGCTGTTAAGTAACAAACAGATATTAACAAATATATAAGGACCCACATAACCCTAAACTCACCTGGAATAATTGCACGTGCAGGCTGTCTTCTCTGGATGCGCTTCATCCATGGTCACAACACGTTCCTCCTTAGCACCGATCTTGCGGCTCACGTGGAAGGAGCTTCGGCCAATCTTCTGGACGGAATATTGCGTGCCTGTTTAACAATTTGCTTGAATAATGGCTGCCGTTTTGGGGGGAGGGAATCTCCCTCCCCCAAGGTCCCATACTCCGCACGCATGTCCTCCATTGCAGAAGCTTGTCGTATGATGAGTGAGAACAATACTTGGGCAGGATTGTCACGCCTCAATCCGCGCATAGAGGCATGATGGGACTCCACAGGGTTAGACGTGTAACAACCATAACGAGCCCCACCAAACAGATACGTAGCCCATTTTGTTCCCAAGCCGTCCTTTTCTAAATACTCCTTCCCCCCTGGACATTCCCTCTCGATCTTCTCCAAGAAATCTCGATGCACATCACGAGTCAATGCTGCTGCAGCAAGCTCAATCTTCCTATCCAAATCAGAACCTAACTTTGAGTTAAAATTTCTCACCAAGTGTGTCACGCAAAATGCCTCACGCGTTCCTGGCAATGCTCTGGAAGCGGCAGCCCTCCAAGCCTTGCCTCGATCGTGCATCAGAGTTAACTTCGGGGTGTCGATCTCAGGTGCCGCTTCCTTCAACATCCCCAAGAAGTAACTGCACGACTCAGCATTCTCTCCCTCAACCCATGCACTTCGAGTCTCACCAATTTGTGCTCACAATCTACCATACATGCATTAAGAATGTATCCACGCCAAGGTCCCTTGTTGAGACAACCATCAACAAAAATGATGGGAAAACAGTTCCTGGCGATTTCTCGAACACCTGGGTACACAACTCTTGCCCGGTAGAACGTGCTATCTTTTGGTTCAAAATAGACGACGCTTGTTAGGTTATTTTTCTTAAATATGCTCAAAATACTACCTATGTACTGAAACCCTACATCTCCAGCCAGCGGGTCCTCATTCACAACATCGTCAATTGATCTATCACATGTCGAGTAGCAACAGGCCTTTCCTATTCTCTCTTCCACGATCTTCTGTAATCCAATGGGTTTGACGTCGCCAAAAGGAAGCACCTCACGCACAATTTCCTTTACCTCCTCTCTCCTAACCGGTCGTGGATGTGGAACACACAAGTTTGCGTGTTGTAGGGACGCGGTCTTGACGATAAGACTGCCATTTCGAGGCCCGGTCACCTTGATCCTAAAAGGGCAAAAACCTTCAGGAGCCTTAGCTTCATTTTTTTGCCAGTATTTGTCTCTCATAGAGTGACATCACATTTCTAGTCTATCTGGCTTGTTTCGAAACCAGTATATGCCACGATTATCCTTATCGACATACTTCAGAATTTCCTGTCGGGCTACGCTCAAAGATGAGTAGATTTTTCCCTCATGAATGTTGATCTCCTCATTGCGTTGACTCAAAAAAGACCTGCAAAGAACAGGACGCATAAGAGGTGTACCGTGTTGTAACAAGTAAGATTCACTTAACCATCAAAGCAACAGCGCGGTGAACCCAATAACTTGTGGTGCGCACATAGGAATGGAAAATGCATTGCACGCTTATAAAAAAATGAGAATCACCTTGATGTCAAGTTTCTGAATATTGTGAACGTGTTGTATGCTTTTCAAACTGAAATGGGAAATAGGAAAGAGAATAGATGTAGGGCAGATGGAATGGAACAGTCGAACATAGGAATAAAATCCCAAAAATAGGAAGGGGTGTGAGGTATGTTTGAAAAAGTTAACTTTCACACCACGTAGGTTGGCGGTAGGTTGGAGTAGGTTTGTAGTATCTTCGGTAACTACAAAGTAGGTTTCGCAGCCGAATCGCGAGCAGTCAGGGCTCGAGTTCGGAGTAACCTGAACGCAGGTTTTTCTGGCGGCCAATCCAAACATCACAAGCCTCAGGTTGGGAAGCCGAACCGGGCCAAGCATGTCAATAATACACGAGTGTAGAGTTTAGCAAGATTCTGTGCTGCAAAATGTATGTCGATTTAAAAATTCTAATCCAACAACTCAACCATGTTTTGGTTCCTAATATATTAGCTCTTTGTAAGAAATTGCTTGTAGCACTTTGAAAAGCCTGATCAAGATATTTTTGCCACTTGAAACACATGTTACAAATGGTTCTGTATTTCTTTCTTGTTATCAATTGGCTCTCAAATATTATTTTCCTTATATATATTGTATTGAATAATCATGCCGTTCACGTTATATACACTTGCATTTACTTGTCAAGACTCACGTAATTTGATATTCATAGTGCATACAGGTTGTGTCGTTGTGGAAGTGGAACACCCCAATTACATACTTGACACAGAAATATGTATTGACGCACAAAAGCTCACATGAGGCTCCTGATGAGAACATCACAGTACTACACATAGGTGTTCCAAGTAAAGGGACTCACTCAACTTAAATAACTCATTCATGATAGAATCCATACATGAATACAAAACAGTTGCATTGAATCATCTCTTCGCACATCTGTCAATAACTCAAGTGTGTCCTGAGATGTTGTTGTTGTTGTTGTGGTTTTTTTAAGTTGTTTTTTTTTTGTTGTTGTTTTCTTATGAAGGTATACCAATACCATATATGTATAGAACACAACATGGATGTAATCCACTATCTTTGGAAAATTGATATCGTCATCAGATGTATATTATGAACTTTTGTAGCGTCGCACAGCTTTTGATATTTGTGAAATATTCAAGAGCTAATGCTCAAATGATCAGATGTTTGATCATTAACTTCTAACACTATGTGGAAAATGTTATTATATGACTACTAGACATATTCATAATAAAATGCGATTTCGTCCAAATTCATGTCAACATTTCAGTAGTGTCGATTTTGCACTTCTGTCTCCTAATCCAGCTCGAATGGTCGAGTATTAAATGCTATTTGAGGCCATTCATTACTTCGAAGACTTATATAAAATCAGATAGATAATTATATTGTAAACGATTTCGCTGATAAATAATTTTTAACATTTTGAACATATAAATAAGTTCATAATTTACTTATAGCATTTCTGAAATACATATTCTCAACATCTTAGTACAGAAATATTTAAAATATTTATAAATTGTGATATTGCATGGTTCCGATAACTTCACATCCCAAAATATGCGTTTTTTCGCGAGACATGAGGGAATGTGTTTCGACCACCTCTGAGACAACTCTCAGAGGTGGTCGAAATTCATGAACCTGATTCGCTGCGCAGCTGCCATACCCGTCGAGCTGGCGGCTAACTGGGCAGCGAAGCAGCGCGTCAGCCAATCTGACGATTGCAGCTTCCAGCTTCACACACCTCAGAGAATCAGAGAGGTGGTCGAGATTCATGAACCTGCAGACGCTGCCGGTTCATGCCGAGCTGGCGGATAACTTGGCAGCCAAGCAGCGCCTCAGCCAATCTGATGGTTGCAGCTTCCGGCGCCCTATATTCACCCACGAAGCCTCGTTCCGAGCCGTTTCTTCAAGAGCAGCCAGATTTTGTCGCCTCTAGATCATACTGGCCAATAGTTATCGTTCTTCCCCGAACCACAGACCTTCGACTCCTCCAGCCAGACATTCGCTGGCATGTGTGGTTGCGAGCAGTTTTAGGATAATCCAGTTATAGTTTCTTGTCTGACCGTTCAGTTAAAATCCCACATTGTGTTGTTACGCACTGTATCTGCATCAAATCCCCCCCAATATATTACCCGACTGACTGTATTTCTCGATCGTTTTTGCTGTTATGTTTTTTTTTTCTGCCCCTCCCTCACTCGTTTCTCGGAAGTCTGAGACTCCTTCCCTTTCCCCTTGCTCTTTCCTTCCTGCTCCGCTCCACCCCATTCTAGACGCTGGCATTTATGTACCAGCATCAACTCTTTCTATCATCAGTTTTCATCTCGTCACTATGTTCACCTATTCCAGCCGCTCAGTTTCGTCTGCTTCAGCTCCTAGCGTTCAGTAGTCTGAGCCTCAGCTGTCGGTTTCCTTACCTTCATTCCACATGACTCCCTGCGGATGACAAGCTTTGCGTAATCTTCTGTTCCCGTTTCAGTTTACCGCTTGTGGTGCTGTTGCGTCTGTTTCCTTCTGTTTCTGTTCTTTTTTTGCAGTTATACTTCTGTCCTTATAAGGCTTGTTCCAAGAGCATAACACAATCGGATGGCGTTCTTGTGCTGACTGTCTGCAGCGGCTTTCTTTGTCTCTCTGGTAGGTACCGGTTCATCTTTCGTATTTTCGAAGGTCATGTGCTTCGAGAACCTTCTTGCAACTGAACCGTGTTCTTTGTGGGTTATATTTTAATTGTTGTGCAGGATCATTTTCACAGCGTTCAGTGTCC